AATGTTTGATTTGTTCGTTAATATTCCACGTCAGCATAAGTTTTAGGCCAATTAATTGTTGCCACTTTAGTTTAACACAGCAATATTTTGTCACCACCAGCTAAGCTTTTATTATTAGTAACACTAAACCAATGTTTTAAACTGTAAAATACGTAAGTTTTTATACTTCTGACGAACCATAGATTTTTAAAGCTGGCATTTTTATCCGAACTAAAACAAAAAAAATCGAATCCAATTTTTTTTGTTTATTGACTGGTTTTTATATTTTTTTAAACATAAATGTTTTTTTTTATATCAAATCATAAATGTATATGAAACTAAAAATTGAAGCAAAAGCAATTTGGATTCAAAAATTAATTTAAATCCAAACGTGAAAGATTAAGATTTTTGATGTTTGTGAAATTCCATAATCGAAAAATCACGAAAATGAAAAAATGGGTAATAGACACGTGTTTGATTAGTTAAAGCGTGCAAGAAACCTCGGATTTGAATCAGTAAAACAATAACAATCGCTTGCCTTGGAGAAGATAATCACTAAAGAAGGTTCGTCGAAAATTACCATTATTAATCATAGTTTATGATTTTTAATTTGTTTGAAAAATTAAATTATATGTGTTGGGAAGAGAAGCGAACCAATGCTTAGGCCATCCTTAACCATGACACTTTTAGAGTGTCTTTAAATAAACAAATATTAAAAACACTATCTCTCTTCCTTTTACTCAATTTTATACTTTTTCTTTCATTTTTTTTTTCAATTTTATATCTTCTCTTTCATCTTTTACTCAACTTTTATTAATTTTATATTTAAACACACCCAAAAACACCCATCAAAATGTCTTCCTATAGACACCCTCTCTCCAAAAATATCCACTATCTTCTCTCTTTACTCAAATTTTATTAATTTTATATTTCAATACACCTCACTATTTCAACCAAAAACACTCACTTTCTTCCTTTTACTTAAATTTTAATAATTTTATATTTAAAGACACCCAAGTCACCATTAATGCTCTACGCTATAATTTGGTTCGTTACAAGCAAACTTATCTTTTGGTCTTTTCCGGTTTAAGCATTAGTTAATCTTGTTTAATACTAGTTTATTTTAAAATCCATAATTATTCACAACAACAAAAATCCGTAATTATTCAGAACTTGTGATTATTGACTCAAAGAAAAATCAAAATGCATGTTTATAAAGAAATAGTACGCTAGTTACAAACACAAAAAATCAAACATTTTATCAACAAATGGAGTATTGAAAATTTGGC